TCGATGTTCTCTATTCTGTACCATTGGTGTCAGGTCTATTTTGGTGCCATGGAGTGAAGTTGATGAAAGCTTTCTTCTCCCAGGTTTTGTTCTGCTAATCATCCAGCACAGCCATTGAGCTATAATCTCTATTATATTATAGAGATTATAATATATTTTTTAACCTATAATAGAGCACAGATGGATGTAATTTTGCAAATTTTTAATCAAAATGTTTTTGCTATATTATTAGTCACTATTTGGTATTCCTATATAAAATTTTATTCCAATATGTATAGATATACTAATAAAAATATAACTTCCCATGATATTGATGAAGGGAAGAAAAACAAGTAATGGACTATTTGCTTGTAAATTTACTAAGAGGCATTGTTAGCAACCACCAAATTGTATTGACCTGTAATTATTTTAGTATATATATATATATAATATCTATGTAATATTATTATATATATAATATATACAGATTTTATATATAGAACATATACACAGATTATATATAAAGATTTTGTATAGATATATAATATGTTAATTTTTTCCTCTTTTCATTCATGCAACAGCAGGTTCCTTGAATTTATTGTATATTCATTTTCTACTACAGTGCTATTTCTAATACTAGTAAATGAAGGTGGAAGTTAATAGCCTCATTTCATATCCGAAATCAGTCTTTGAAAGCTTAAATGTATTTCTTTCATAAAAGTTTCATATCCTTGTTCAACAAAGAGTAGAATACAAAAGATATTTTAAGAGCATCCAAGGCCTCAATCTCAAAACACACCTAATAATCTAGTAGTTTGGAAATACACACTTTCTTTTTCTTTTGGAATTTTTAAAATGTGTTCTAATTAGTTATATGTGACAGTAGAATGCACTTTAACATATCATACATAAATTCAATATAACTTCTCATTCTTCCGATTGTACACAATATAGCATCACACTACCGGTTGTGTAGTCATTTATGCATACAGGGTAATAATGTCTGATTCATTCTCCTATCCTTCCTACTCCTGTATCCTCTCCCCTCCCTTCACTCCCCTCTGCCTAATCCAAAGTAACTCTACTCTTCCCTAGTTGCTGCCTGCTTGCCTTATTCTGAATCAGCAGCTGCATATCAGAGAAAACATTTTGCCTTTGGTTTGGGGGATTGGCTTACTTCACTTAGCATGGTATTCTCCAGCTCCATCCATTTACCAGCAAATGCGGTCATTTCATTCTTTAAGACTGAGTAATATTTCATTTTGTGTGTGTGCGTGTGTGTATACACACCACATTTTCTTTATCCATTTATCTGTTGAAAGGCATCTAGGTTGGTTCCATAATTTGGCAATTGTGAGTTGACCTGTTATAAACATTGATGTGGTTATGTCACTGTATTCTGATTTTAAGTCCTTTGGGTATAAACAGAGGAGTGGGATAGCTGGGTCAAATGGTGTCCCATTCCACATTTTCTAAGGAATATTCATACTGCTTTCCTAATGCTTGCACAATTTGCAGTCCTACCAGCATATATGAGTGTACCTTCTTCCCCACATCCTCACCAACACTTATTGTTGCTTGTATTCTTGATAATTGCCATTCTGACTGGAGGGGGATGAAATCTTGGAGTAGTTTTAATTTGCATTTCTCTAATTGCTAGAGATGTTGAACATTTTTTCATGTATTTGTTGATCAATTGCATTTTTTCTTTTGTAAAGTGTCTGTTCAGTTCCTTAACCCATTTATTGACTGGGTTATTTTTTTTTTTGTTAAGGTTTTTGAGTTCTTTATATATCCTGAAGATTAGTACTCTATCTGAAGTGCATGTGGTAAAGATTTTCTCTCATTCTTTAGGCTCTCTCTTCATGTTATTGATTGTTTCCTTTGCTGAGAAAAAGCTTTTTAGTTTGAATCCATCCCATGTATTGATTTTTTATGTGTGTGTGTGCTTTAGGATCTTGTTAAGGAAGTCATCTCCTAAGGCAACATGGTGAAGATTTGGGCCTGCTTTTTCTTCTATTAGGCATAGTTCTTAATGCAAATATAATATTACATTCTGCTTTATTGACTCACCATTAGTTCACAAAAAAATTCACATCATTAGATCATGTATGTATGTATATGCATATATATGCATGTGCATATTACAGTGATTTTAATTATATGCAAATAAATATAAATAGATTTGTTTTTGGAATGAAATGAGGTACACATAGATTCTTCATGATCTTAAATATAGATTTCCTTGTGGCAAATTTCATATTGGACTATAGTTCTCCGATGTAGGCAACATAGCTACATTGCTTTGATGCATCTACATTTCTTAGATGCTGAAAATTTGGAAGATGGCTAAATCACTGGGCTACAAGTTTTGATGACACTGCCAATCTCTGGTTGTCTTCAATGCAGATTTATAAATTTATTACAGTAATTTTCCAATGTATGCTAGGAAAAAATTACTTTGAAGGCTATTAGCTTGTACTAATCCTTGTAGTACATACACTATGTAATTTCTTACTACTCTTGAGTCAGGATTCATTAATCATCTACTTAACTTTGTGTTATCTAATTATATATTCATGTATGTATGTATTTTTATTTATTTTTCCATATTTTACATCTAGAATCAACAAGCTGGGATCTGGAAGTGATTTTGAAGCTTATTTTCAGAGACTTGGAATTGCTTCAGGCAGAGTTCATTACACCAAGAACAGGGTAAGCCACTTTATTATTTTCAATATATAGCATTTGTGTTAGTCAGCTTTCCATTACTGTAACAAATACCTGAGGTGAACAACTGATAGAGAGAGGTTATTT